ATAAATAAATAAAATCTTTAAAAAAATAAATAAATAAAATCTAGAACAAAGGAAGAAGAAAGTGAGGAGTGTTAGAGATTAAAAAAAATTAGGGGCACCTGGGTGGCTCAAGTTAAACATCTGACTTCAGCTCAGGTCATAATCTCGGGGTCCGGGATCATGCCCCGAGTCAGGCTCCCTGCTCCCTCTCCCTCTGGCTGTCCCCCAGCTTGTGCGTGTGCATGCTCTCTCTCTCTCTCAAATAAATAAATAAATAAAATCTTAAAAAAAAATTAATTATGACCTGGTAACTGCTAAAGCTAGATGATGCATATATAGGGGCAACATTGTACCATTTTCTATACTTTTTTTTTAAAGATTTTATTTGGGGTGCCTGGGTGGCTCAGTCGGTTAAGTGTCTGCCTTCAGCTCAGGTCATGATCCCAGGGTCCTGGGGATTGAGTCCCGCATTGGGCTCCCTGCTGGGCGGGAAGTCTGCTTCTCCCTCTTTCCACCCACCTCTCCCCCCTCCCCGCTCGCTCTCTCTCGCAAAAATAAATATAATCTTTAAAAAAATAAAATATTTATTTATTTTAGAAAGAGAGCATGAGCAGGGGCAGGGGCAGAGAGAGAGAGAATCCCCCTATTTTCTGTACTTTTGATTATATTTGCAATTTTCTACAACAGAACATTTTTAAAAATTAATGTTAAAGAATAATGTGGCTGATAATATAGGAGAAACAAAAGATTTTAGTAGAAAGAGTCAAAGCACACCTTTAATAATAATCAACATAATGGAAATCTGGGGCTCTTTCTTTATTCCAAAGTGAAAATAATGTATATAGTCAATTAACTGACTGATTAATGTATATAATCAAAAGACACCAAAGAAACAAAAAAACCCCCACAAAACTGTACAGCAAAGTTACAGATTTTCCTAGCCATTATCAGACTGACTTTACATTTAAGTAAGAACATGTTTTATAAAGTGAGCTAAACTGAACGGAAGCCAAAGATGTAAGTTCTAATGTCACCTCTCCAATGTTTTGCTACAGTAACTCTTGCAAGTCACTTAGAGGCTTAGGGTTTGCTGATTTACAGAACTGAACTTGAAGAACTACCCTTCCTCACAGGATTGTAGGGAGAAATGAAAAGTAACAAAAAAATTTTTAGAAAACTATGACTAAGTATTTACAATAAGGTCTCATGCCACACTATTAAATTCTATATGCAAACATTTTTGTACAGATCATCTCTTGTGGAGTGTTGTATGAGAACTCACAGAGGACTGTTCATCACAGGTTTCATGTGGATGTCTGCAGAAAGCCACAACAGCCAATTCTGCAGTAGTTCTTTCAGACTCTGGAGAACACTACACTGAGAAGGCAAAACAAAACAAAAATCATTCATAAAATCATTCAGACACACTTTAGTGTTGAGAACTAACAAATTAAACCAGAGGCTTAGAGGTGGAAGGGACCGTGGAGATGACTGCATCCAGCTCTTGGGTTCTGCATCAGAGCCCAATAGCTGCTACTCCAGCCTGATCAGTCTCCAAGAGACAGATGAATGTGAGTACAAGTTTATTTTGCCATTTTCTCTACAAGACTGCCCCCAGCTTATCAGCCCAGGAACAGACTCTCGTTTCTCTAAATTACATTCATTTATAACATATATTACATCTCCAAATACAGTATCACCCACTCCTTCCTGTCTCCCCTCAGAGATCCTTTGAAGTTGCTATGGAAATGAGTTGCCTATCCTTTTCACCTTGTGTCACAACTATAATTTACTCCCTTTTTGACAGTCATAAAATTTATCTCACCTTCTGTAACTGGAAAACAAACAATTCTAGTCTTTCCTTTCTCAGGCTTTGCCTTGATTTCTCAGGGCCTCATTTACATACAAATACAGTCTTGACGGAGATGTGCCCAGAGCATTCATGAGGATAAATCTATAAATTTGAAAGCTCTCCATATCATCCCAAAACCTAATATAGGAAACCTTTATTACATATCCTTAACAAATAATGGCCTAGATACTATTTGAGTATCTCCAGTGATAGGATGCTCACTTCATAGAACAGTTCAATTAATATTTTTTAAAGAAACTGACACCTTGAATTCAGGTTATAAATATGTTCAAGTTGAAAGTGACCTTGGAATCACCTAAAACAATGTTCTATTTTAGTGTCAGTCAAGGATTTGAACATTTGAAAAGGTAGTCAGTATTACTGTCATATTCAGAAAACTTAAATCCTTTTATTTCCCACTCACCTATTCTAATCCACCCAGTCACCACATTAAAGTAATGAGACTTTTGTTTATGAGAGGAATGTGGGTTAAAAAAAATGTTGAGAAGCACAGATCTACCCTACATATGAAACTTCTCTACATAAATATCCCCAGTAGATATAGCCATTAAGCCTATGCCTAACCTACTCTAACACCAAGAAATATACTAGGGAAATATACTATGTCCCAAGGTCATTTATTTCATTTTTAGTTTGCTCTACCTGTAAAAAGATACTGCCCTATATCTAATCTTGCCTCCTAAAGTCAGACAGGCTTCTGCTCTTTCCCTGGGACAATCCATCAATTACTTGAAGGGACCCACAAAATCTTAGTCCTCCAGGCAAAATATCCCTGCTTCCTTTACTATACCAAGCTAGAAATCGTAAAGTCATCTAGTGTCCTTCATGCATTACTTCATCACCAAATCCTATCATTTTTTTTTCCAAAATGTCCAACTTTTCCATCTCCTTCCAATCCCACTGTAACTACCTTAGCCCAGGCCTTCACATCTCTGAGATTACTTTATCCTCCTAGTCAGTCTTCTTTACTCTAGTCTCATCTCCCAAACCCCAATTCTTTCTCCATGGCTGCCAGACCCTTGTTATTTAAGTACTCTATCCATTATATCTATCTGCCCTCAAAGAACTGTGTATGGCAAAGGAATAACAACATGTAACAAGGTCATAAAAAATGGTCAAACTCCTTCCTTTCATCCAGTAACTTTATTCCTGGAAATGTATGCTGACAGAATAAAGAAATCTGTACTATGAAGATGATCGATATAGTTATCTATTCCTACAAAGAAACAAATTAGAAATAATAATAGAAAAAAAATTAATTCTGGTATAACATCTACGGACTATGACTAGATATCTGACTATATTTGACAAATTTTGTATTCTGGTTTTTAAATTTATGTCCACTGTTTTTGTAATTATACAGGAGACATAAATCAATGTGGAAAGAAATTAGAAAATTAACACGCCACAATGAAAATAGCATTGTTACAGATTTGTGGAATTTTCTCAGTTCAAAATTCTTCAGTGAAAAAAGTTGTTTGCTGATAGACATAACTGGCTAAGCACAAACAAAAGCACTGAAAATGTGAAAATATTTTAATAGACTTTTAAAAATACTATTTATTATATTAAACTGGATAATCAAGCTATACAATACCTAAAGTAATAATAATTTATTTAAAAACTCATAAACTATACTCTGGTTTCTCTTCAGATCATATAATCTTTTGCCTTTTAAAAGCTTCATAAACTGGGGTACCTGGGTGGCTCATTCAGTTGAGCATCTGACTCTTGATTTCGGCTCAGGTCATGATCTCAGGGTCATGAGATAGAGCCCCACATTGGGCTCTGTACACAGCGTAGAGTGTGCTTAAGATTCTCTCTCTCCCTCTTCCTCTGCTCCCCCCCAACATAAATTTAATACAATAATAATAATAATAAAAGCCTCATTAACTGAATCTTTAGCTAATTCTACTACATGTCACATTGCTGTCATCCTTAGCCACCTCTCAAAATGAAACACCCTTTGGTCACTTATCCTTTCTTATACTATATTTTCTGTGCTTGTTTCCCCCTTTCATCAATCTCATCTTTCCCAAATCTTTCAATTAGAGTTTCCAGAACTTCTACTCCATGGTAATCTAAACCTATACCTTCAATATTCTTCAGAGTATGCTTTCTGTCTTATTATAGTCAGATCCTGGCTTTCCCTCACCACCCAAGGACAATGTTTCCTCTGAATACATTTCCATATCCCACTTCAACATCTGGAGGTAAGCACTGCCCTTGCTTCCCACTGCATACATGAATATAAGTCTCTTCTTTGAGACAGTAAATATAAAATCAAAATGACTCTCCCTTTAAGAAAAAAGAAATCTGGTTCTACCCCCACATTTCACTGAAACTGCTCACAAAAGTAGCACGAAACTTCTGTATTATCAATTTCAAAAGAAACTCTTTGGTCCTTATCTTTCTGGATCTTCCTGGGATATATGGCAACATTATTCCTTCACTACTTCTTGATATCCTGTATTCCCTTTGTTTCTTTGGCACTGTTGTTCTTCTGGTTCTTTTCATACCTCTTGAGAAGGTTCTTTCACAGACTCATATTTTTATTTTATTTTATTTTTTGAGATTGTATTTGAGTTATTTTTTTATTATGTTGTTAGTCACCATACAGTACTTCATTAGTTTTTGATGCAGTGTTCCATGATTCATTGTTTGCATATAACACCCAGTGCTCCTCGTAATACATGCCCTCCTTAATACCCATCACTGGGCTAACCCATCCCCCCATCACCCTCCCCTCTGAAACCCTCAGTTTGTTTCCCGGAGTCCATAGTCTCTCATGGTTCATCTCCCCCTCTGATTTCCCCCCCTTCATTTTACCCTATGACCCAGCAATTGCACTACTGGGTATTTACCCCAAAGATACAGATGTAGTGAAAAGAAGGGCCCTACGCACCCCAACGTTCATAGCAGCAATGTCCATAATAGCCAAACTGTGGAAGGAGCCGAGATGCCCTTCAACAGACGAACAGATAAAGAAGATGTGGTCCATATATACAATGGATTATTACCCAGCCATCAGAAAGGATGAATACCCACCATTTGCATCGACATGGATGGAACTGGAGGGGATTATGCTAAGTGAAATAAGTCAAACAGAGAATGTCAATTATCATATGGTTTCACTTATATGTGGAACATAAGGAATAGCATGGAGGACATTAGGAAAAGGAAGGGAAAACAGACTCACCTTTTTAGCTAAGAATACTGAGTATTCCCGAGTTCTGTCCTTGGCCCACCAACTGTTTCCTTTCCTGTATCCCTTTTTCTCTGCAGACTCCCATTCTCAAATATAAATATATGTATGTGTGTATAAATGTATGCATACTTATTAGGTTAGACCATATGAAATTGCCATTGATCAAACATCTTTGACCTATGAAAATGGCAATTTCGTATGGTTCAACCTAGTATTTATAGATAAACAGCTCTCTAGATTGGTGGAATAAGAGAAAAGATAAAAAATAACCCAATTATAAGATAGGAAGAAAATCACAAAAGGCTGCAAAATGAAGTCCCTAAAAATGCATTAGCTGGGAGAAGTGGTATGTACTGTCACGTGAATGATGATATTGGTCAGGTAGTAAGTACAAATAATATAAATAAACCTCAAATCCAAGTTATTGTGACAGGTAATTAATAAAGTGCCATTTGAATATGACAAACACTAACCAGGACAAAACATTTTCCTGTAAACGTGGCCAACAGTAAGTGATTTAAGGGGAAAACAATGTTACAAAACACTGCTTTTATCGTCATTCTTCTGGAATAGGAATAACCATTCTATACAAAGTGGTTCTCAAACTCACTTGGGTAAAACTCTTGGAAACCACAGTGGTCTTTTTGGGGAATACCCCAAAATAGTAACACATTTTAATTTTATCATATAAGGTTGGAACAATTTTATTAGCAGAAAATGAGTATGTTCTAAATATACAATATGAATGTCAAAGGGGTTTTGTTTGCTTTGGCCATTATTGTATTCCCAGTGTTAAGAAGGGCATCTAGTACATGGTAGGTTCTCAATAAATATTTGTAAAATAAGTCTATCTATAAAAATATCAACCACAACAATCTAAGTATGGTTAAACATTTCCCACTTTGTTTTTATTAACACTAATTTGCCACCTGTTCATTCACTTTGTCATCTGCTACAAGTGGAACAGTTCAGGAAAATTGTATGCAACAAAATCTTTAAAACAGAATATTCTATGCATTAACTTTGATCTGAGTAATGCAGCACCTCAAGTCCAGGTCCAAGGGAATCCTGCTGGAAAACCACCGCTTCAGTATGGGTTTGGAATCATGTACCACTGGCCATAAAACAATACTTCCTATTCAGTCTAAGCAAGACAGTTTTTTTTTACCTTGAAATAAATGGTTGATGTAAAGAAGAGCTGTGCTAGATGGTCAAAAAGAAGTGGTTTCAGCTCTAGGAATTAAAAAAAAAAGATTATTCAAGATTATTTTAATTAATATTACACTGAATTAAAGGACCCCAAATTTTCTTGATACATACCAGAGAAGCTACTAAAAGGAATCCAGCTCACAAGTTGAAGGAACTGTGATCGACAACAGAAGCCATCCCAGAGAGGAAGGCTCTTGTACAGGAATGTTTCACAGGAATAAAACCCCTCCTATAACAAAAGTCAACAGTAAAAACTCATATGAAACTCCTCAGTCCATAACTACTCTCTAAACAACCAGTTTATTCTGTGCTATAGTTGTTTTACTCTTAGACTAAATTTTTTGTCATCAGTATAATAAAAGCCTTGGGTTAGGTGCCAGAATTCCTCATAAAAAGGACCAGATAATTAATGTTTAGACACATTACCACCTTCATCAACATACTTCTCAAATACCATAAAATATCATGTGGAAAGAAGGTAAAAAGTCAAGTAATGGAATATTTTTAAAGATAAATGAAATTGTACTACTCTGGAGTATATGCAGTCTCTTGCGCAGTCCATAAAATGTATACAATGTTTGGGCGCCTGGGTGGCTCAGTCAGTTAAGTGTCCAACTCTTGATTTCGGCTTAGGTCATGATCTCAGGATCATGGGATCAAGCCCTGTGTAGGGCTCTGCACTCAGAGGGGAGTCTGCTTGTCCCTCTCCCTCTGCTCCTCCCCCTGCTCAACTCACTCTCTTGCAAATAAATAAATGAAATCTTTTAAAAAATGTATACAATGTTATAATAGGGCTATAATTTCTCTAGAGGCCATAGACCAAATCCAAACTCTGGGCAGCTCCATCTGAAGGAACACTTGAGTGTGTAGACTGCTTATGCTTTCACCGAAGATCCAGAGCTTTCCTTTTTTTTTCCCCCCTGTGTAAATAATGGCATGCACCAGGACTCCATCCTAGACTTTCTTCTCATGACATGAATTATCTGGACAATCTCATCTATAACATAGCTAAAACCACCACCTATATCATGAGGAGTCCTAAAGCTCTATCTCTAGCTCAAATCTCATTCCTCAGCTCTAGACTCATTACCTAACTACTGGATATGACCTTTTAGATATCCCACAAGCATCTTTTAAGTCAAATTTCTGGGGCGCCTAGGTGGCTCAGTCGGCTAAGCGTCTGACTTTGGCTCACGTCATGATCCCAGAGTCCTAGGATTGAGCCCCCTGTATTGGGCTCCCGACTCAGAGGGGAGTCTGCTTGTCCCCTGCCCGTCCCCCTGCTCATGTTCTCTCTCTCAAATAAATAAATAAAATCTTCAAAAAACAAGTCAGATTTCTTTCCTTCCAAGCCTGTTCCTTCTACATCCCCTTTCTTACCTCCCAAGCAGGAAACCTAAAAGTCAACCGAAATGTATCCCTTTATCCTCACCACCATAATCCACATCCAACTTCCAATTCAATGGTTTCACATCAAATCCTTAAGATTTAGTCAACACATTGTGCATCTCTTTTGTACCAGGTACCAAGCTAAATACTTGTACATGAAGAAAAGTTAGACATGGTTCCCACCAGCTGGGAGCTCATAATATGTGGAAAAACAGATCTGAAAGTGCCATGATACAGGTAAACACAGTGAACTAAAGAAGCATATAAAACAAACATCTAAACCAGATGAGGGTGATGAGTATAGGCTTCCTGATGGTGCTGATAACTGAGCTGCAGCTTAAAGTACAACTAGGGTTACTTACGTATGCCAAATAATTAATTGGCTAGAACATTAAAAAATATTTGTTGATTATGAGAACACAGTAACCCTATGAGATATATGTTAGCAGCTAATTCAATTAGTTGAATGCATTCAATTACATCTTCAGTTTGTTCTCTTACAGGCCTTTCTCTCTTATTTGCATAATTTAACAAATTCTTTCCTCAAATCCAACAGTACAGAGATAAACGTCAATTCAACTCAACTCTATTTATAACGAGTTTTGAATTGAGCAAATACTATTCACAAATGATGCCGAGCACTAAAGAAAAGATATTCAATGGGTATCGAAATAAATTTTAGTAAGAAGTGGTGGAGCGTACATGAAGAAAGTGGAATCTTACTTGTAAGAAGCACTCTGCCCTGATGATAGTGTCCAGGAAGTTGGTAAATTCTTTTCCATGTTCATAATTATTCATCTTGTACCAAATACACTCTGGAGCAGAAATATTAAACATAAGTATATGGGTACATGACAATAAAAACTATACAAAACATAATTACCACTACTCTAAAGTGACATGACAAATATAAACAAGTAATCAGTCTTATATACCCTAACCAACTTGCACTGCAGACTGTAACATGTATGTGGAAGTGATAGTGAAATGATCCTCAAGAACTTAATGATATAGGGAAAGCTTATAGTGAAAAAATAAATTAGTAAAATTGACATATAATAAATGTGATTAGCTTAAGTCACATAGTAGTCCAAGAGACTATACATGTATGAATTAAAAGTTTAAGAACACCCCAAACTTCAACTAGGGTGAGTTGGGGATAATCTCAGAGTGGTAGAACTATAGTAAGTGGTAATCTAATTATATCATATCCTATCTAAAGAAAAACTGAGCAGGAAAAGGAGAGTTAGCCTGGAACCAACTAAAACCAACTTTAAATACTTGAAGAGTTAGGAGTTGCTTACCCAGGAAAGAAACAATCTGGTCAACAGAAATATGATCTCTAGAAAAACTGACCCCCTTGGAGGAATGAAATGATCAGGCTTTATTTACTATGGCCTGGATGAAAAACTCCCTTACTGCTCTTTCCTTCAATTCTGTAATTAAGAAATCTTCTAATGACTAATTTGGCTCCCATCTATACTGATAGCAGAGAGGAGATACTATTGTTGGCAGACATGAACATTTTGGTCACCAAAAAGAATTACTTCTATTACGAAATAGTAAGTTGATATTCTGACTTATATATTAGTCTTCTCTGAGTGTGGTTAGCATTAATCTGATGATTCTGGGGCCTGAACAGCAAGTTTCTGGACATACATAGATGAAGAGGCTTTGGACTGATGGTCATCAAAATGGAGCCACCCAGTGAGTTTAGGTGGCCATCCAGCAATGTTTCCTTAACACACCTCCTTTCTTACTGTCTTCTAAAATTACAACAAGGGAAGCATACCGGCTCTGAATATATGATCATCAGAGAAACAGTTACGGCATATGAAGGCTCCTCCTATTTAGAATTTGTCACCCTTACAAAAGATATGAACTATCTTGTTCCTTCCTCATTCACCTAATGCTTTTAAAGATTTTTTTTTTTTGTTTATTCATTCAAGACACAGAGATACAGAGAGAGAGAACATGAGCAGGGGGAGCAGGCTCCCTGCTAAGCAGGGAGCCCGACGCGGGGCTCAATCCCAGGACCCTGGGATCATGACCTGAGCCGAAGGCAGATGCTTAACCATCTGAGCCACCCAGGCGCCCCTCACCTAATGCTTTTAAGTAACAATTTTTACCTTCTTGTAATGTTTGACTCAACCAGTGATAGAGTCTCAGTAAGATAGACTCGTCTTTGACACAGTTAATATAGTGAAGTAACAGAGAGTTGTTCAACACTGCACCCATCTGGGAAGGCAGCTGCAAAGAGATATCAATCAGTAAACTGTTAAGTATATGAAAAGTAGGTTACAGCAACGAGGAAATCATCAGAAAGCAAATATATAACAAAAATAAAAGGGTATAAAGATCAAATGGAAAATGCAGATAAGCACATGGTCCAGTCACATACCTCTAAGCAGTGGATGTTCTGTAAGAGTTGAGGGAAGCTTTTAAGCTGTTCTAGTGGAAACGATCCATTGCTACTGAGATAATCAGAAAGAGTCATCCCTTTTTTCCCGCATTCTTTACTGCAGCTACTAGAATTTAGCACTGGTATAACTGAGCAAGAATTCCATTTCTAAAGAAGGAAGACAATAAAACAATCTGTCAATAGACTAAACAGACTACAAACTAAATGTAAAAGCAACTGTTGAGGTGGCTCAATTAATGAAGTCTGAATGTGGTTTGCATAGAATCCTGGGCAATTAAAATGTATTTAAATATCTATAATCTCTTCAAACATCCGAATGGCTATTGTTTGGATTTAAGAAAGCTGCACAAATCATTTGGGGTTTTAGATACTTACTCTTTTTACAGGATGGACCTGAGCTGGACCTAACATCAACTTTAGAGGTTCAGGAGGAGGTCCCTGATTCCTTTGCCTCACAGCAAATAGAGCTGCCTTCCACAGATTCTCTGAATTCTTAAAATAGATCTAAAAAAATTGGATTAAAGTACATGAGCAGGTACCCATAACCCAAAGCAATATAAAATCCCAAACTCTTCATTAATTGAAAGTATATTAATTATGAAACATTTTGAAGCCATGCAAATCCATTTAGGTTTTTTTTTCTGATCAAGAATCTATTAAATACATCAAATAGAATCAAAACAAAGTGCCAATCCCTAAAAAAAAACTTTTCAGAAACAGTGCCGCAATACTAGATCTTAAATCAGTATGCTGTGAACATTTCAGTTCAAATCTGCAAATTAACTTAATCAAAATAACATATTTCAATCTCAATATGATTTTCCACTCCTTAATCCCTTACCTTCTTCCTTGCAGGCAAAGATACAGAAATCAAAGTAGGAGCAAAGAACTTATACAGTGACAATAAAGCCTGGAGATGAGGCTGCATTCCCTGAAATGAAATAAGAGTTTTCAATTTTCAATCCTATGGCATAAGGAAAAAAAGTAACGATAAAGTAAACAGATTAAGCGTATATTCAGACCCTAATTTTACTATGTGATATGGCTATAGGAAGATGCTATTGAAAATCAAAGAATAAATAACCAGACATTTAAATCAACGGTCACAAAACTACCCTCGCCAGCCTGTGGACTTCTCTTTTATGACCTTTTCTCCCGCTTTACTTCTTTATATTTTCTCTCTTCTTCTCTGTCCATGCCTTAGGTCTACCAGTCATACCTGCTAGCATGGCTTACTTTCACTGGTAGCATACTCAGGACTCAAAGTTGATTCATTCTTGATTTAGACAGAAAGGTGGGAAGCCAAGAAAACAGGGTAAAGAAAATATTAAAACCTTATTATCATAATTACTGGAAAATTCACTAGGAAATCTAACAACTGGTATGCAGTAGTCAAGCAGCTTGATAGAACTAAAACAAGTCTTAATAAAAACATTAATTTTATAATGACAAAAGTCATTACTGCTGGATACCTGTGTTAGATATATCTGGCTATCCAGAGAAAGCATACCACTAAAATGAATTACAAGGAAATAACCAAACTGTTTTATTATATTATAATTTTGTTGAATCAAATAGTGTACAAAATAAGGAAGGCAGAAAATGGGGCTTAGAAATACAGTATTCCTATTTTTATAACAGCTTCTTGAAATTAAATTTGTTATAACAAAACCAAAATAATCCAGTTTATCTATGCTGAAATACCTTTCAATCTCTGTACTTATTGTCAATTAGTATCAGTATTTGCTTTGAGTTGGAATGTTTTTTGATAGAGCGTATATTTAGTAGAGGAGAGACCTTTAGAATTTATCATCTAGTTAACTAAACATATCTTGGTTGTTAAAAAGTTGATACTCTCTTTTTTTAAAAAGAATTCCAGTTAAACATGGCATATTGAACATATGGATTTAACTCTGGGTCCTCCCAAAGCCCCACTGAAAACTAAAGGAATGAAAAAGGCATAAAGCACAAGTTCAAAGAGAACAAGAGAGGACACAACAGCAAATGAGAGATCCCAACAAGATTTTGGAACCTAGAATGAAAATGGACAAAGAGTAACCAACTTAGCAAAAGAGAGAAAACAAAACCTAAAGTAGAACAGAAAAAGGCTCAAAAGCAGCAGATTCAGGTTTGAGAACTCTCAAAAAGGCTCAGGAATTTGAGGGACCAGATACCTCTGAAAAGTGGAGATAGTAGAAGTGCAAGAGGGGCAGAAAACAGGAGGATTGGTTGAAAACCTAAGAAGCAGTTAGAGCCCCAAATTCCTTCACCACACTAACAAACATCAAGGTTTTACTCTATGAAGATGAAACTGAGTTTAGACAACACGCACAGCTGAGGGAGGGTACCAGGACCCCTCCTCACCCCCTTCCACTGCTTACATCCCAGAGTGCTAGTAGCCAAGTTTATAACCTGTGATAGTTAATTTCAGGTGTCAACTTGGGTGGGCCCCAGAGTGCCCAGATATTTAGTCAAACATTATTTTGAGTGCTTCTGTGAGAGTGTTTTTAGATGAGATTAATACTTAAATTAGCGGACTTTGAGTAGACTGCCCTCCATAATTGTGTGGCCCTTATTCAATCAGTTGAAGGCCCTTATAGAACAAAAAGACCAGCCTCCCCCAAGCAAGAGGAATTCTCCAGCAGCCTACTTACAAGACCATCTGTAACACCAGCTCTTTCTGGTTCTACAGCAGACTGCCTTTGGACTCAAACTGAAACATCAGCTCTCCAGGGTCTCCAGCCTGCTGGCCTCTCTGCAGATTATGGACTTGCTAGCTTCATAATCATGCAAGCCAATTCCTTATAATAAATATCCTTCTGTATATCTAGACATGCATCCTATTGGTTCTGTTTCTCTAGAGAAGCCTAATACAACCCCTAGGTAGGAAACAAGAAAATTCCTCTCTGGGAAAAGTGACACAGCCATCTGTGGGGCTCCCCAAAGAACATCAAGATCCAACAATGAACAAGTCCTGCTCACATACAAAAGTTTCCAATCACCATTTTAGTTCTTTACTAATAAATATGGACAAACAAGGTTTGCCAGGCATTTGAGAAAGGCCTCTACTGTGAAAGACCAAACTAAAGAAAGGAATTCTGAGGAAGCAGAGAAAAAGCTAGAAATAGGAAAAAAAAAATCATAGCCCAAGTCACATAGGCTCATGCCGCTCATTCTCCCCTCTGTAGAATCCTAGAAACCATCCTTACCAACCCTTAGGATGAGACCTAACTCCCACCCATGTTCCAAAGATTGGTCGCAACAGGGCCTGGTGTGTGTGTGATAACTACATGCTGCTCCACTTCCCACCATTCATGCTTGCCACAAGAAAGACAATTTCTGTATTTTGTTTCCTTCATGGATTGGGAATTATAGGGTATGAATGGGTATAGAGGGGGTACATGCCTTTGCAGGTGTCAGAAATTCACATATTCAATTTATTTGCTCCAACCTGCAGATTATGCTTGTAACCACTATACATGTTGGGTTACATGTGAGCACACTATGCCTTCTTGGTTTGATATTGTTGGACTTGACCAAATTCACCAAAATTCAGCTAATCAAAACAATTATAAATGCATCTTTATAGGGGCACCTGGGTGGCTCAGTTGGTTAAGCGTCTGCCTTTGGCTCAGGTCATGATCCTAGGGTCCTGGGATGGTGCCCCGCGTCGGGCTCCCTGCTCCGCAGGGAGTCTGCTTCTCCCACTCCCCTCTGACCTTCCCCTTTGCTCATGCTCTTGCTCTCTCTATCAAATGAACAAAAAATCTTTAAAAAAATGCATCTTTATAAATGGGCATTGATAATGGAATAATTTAATAATGTACTATATAAAATGTTATTAATGAAGCCATACATTTAATGTCTGGGTTAAAAAAAAATTTTTTTTTTAAAGATTTTATTTATTTATTTGACAGAGAGAGGCACAGCGAGAGAGGGAACACAAGCAGGGGGAGTGGGAGAGGGAGAAGCAGGCTTCCCGCAGAGCAGGGAGCCCGATGCGGGGCTCGATCCCAGGACCCTGGGATCATGACCTGAGCCGAAGGCAGACGCTTAACGACTGAGCCACCCAGGCGCCCTGGGTTTAAAATTTTTACACAATCGTGTACTAAATCATTTTCTAAACTTGAACATATGCTGTTGTTTCAGTTCATACAAATCGATAAGATCTTAGTTATGTTAAGGATTTTTGGTATTTTCCTGAAATGCTTTGCTGTTCACATGGAAAAATGTACAACTTTTTCACCATTCATAATACTGTGAAATAAAATTCAATTTGGACAGAAACATTATCACTGATATCTTCAGAGAGCTAAGAGAAGATATTACACTGATAGAACCAAAACAGGGAGCTATGAAACAAGAACAATCACTGAATTGTACTAACAGGAAAGCATGTTATGTGCACTGGAGAATGAATATGCACATGTGTTTGTGTTTTTCATTAAATTTGAATGCCTTCAGGTAGGTTATGCAGGCTCCATCAGTTAGGATAGACACTACAACTTCCTACTGTTTCATATCCAAAGCTTCACAGACTTCTGTTAACTGACAAGTGTAGTGGAAATAACAATGCAAGAGAGCTGTAAGGACAAGAGATAACGGTCAGGGAATATACTGAAGTTTATGTGTCCAGAAAGGAATGCTTTCCTAGATCACATCCACAAAAACATAACCAAACAAATAAACCAGACATTTTACTTTAATAGAGGAGTAGTTTTTGACTACTCCCTGACACTTGTTTTCCAGCCGTAGCAACCCAGTTCCCTAAACAGTTTTGCTGTTTGCCATCTATGTGTTTTTGCTTATGTTGTTCCCTCTGCCTTTCTCTTCCTCCTTGGCCTAGTTAAATCATATTAATCCCTTAAAATTTCTCTCAAGCATCACCACTCCTCCTTGACTCCAGTACTACTCTGAATTTTTATTCTGTTGACTAAGCTCCTCAGACAGTAAGTTCCTTGAAGATCATGACTCATTCAATTTTATATCCCCAAAGCCCAGTAACACAGAGAGTACACTGGCCAATTTTAGGGCTTTTTGGTACTCACCATTTTGGCCTGAAGATCAAGCAGTTTTCTCACGCGAAATGGTTTAACTAGAAAAGGTAAAGAAAAGTACAGTGCATGGGGTTCAGAATAAAAATAAACCATGTGGCTCATACACCATCTTCTTACAACACATCAAAAATACAAACACCCTGTTCAGTTAAACCAGTAAGCAGATACTCTAAGATAAAAGTACTAAAAAACAATTCCCACAAAATCTTGGCATAGAACTATGCTACTAGTTAACTTTATAAAGGCCAATACAAATGCTAATTCCACAGAGTAAATGTAATGCAACTGGAATGAAAATACTCACCATTCTCTTTTCTGGTAAGTAAATATAACAAATGGCAGACATAAGGGCACTGTTAAAACATAAAAAATTTAAAAAGAGAAATGACAATATATCTTGAACAGAGTGGCAACACATTTTCCTCAAATGTCAATCTTCTGATTAAGTAAAAAGGCCTCAGGATTTTGTTGAACAATAATTCTAAAAGCTTCCCTTTTTCATACTACAACATAGTGGTAAAAGCCAATAGTGTTAATTGGTACCTCATTATACCATTTTTAAGTTACTTTTGGAATACAGAAACACTGCAGACAATTTGAAAAACGGAAGAAGATCCTCCTAACAAAAGTTCATGTATTCCTTCCAGTAGTCCATATTTATTAAGATACAAAGTTAAAACTTTTATCTTGATTCCCCACTCAAAAGCATTTTCCTGGGGCACCTGGGTGGCTCAGTCGGTTAAATGCCTGCCTTCGGCTCAGGTCATGATCCCACGGTCCTGGGATCGTGCCCTGCGTCAGGCTCCCTGCTCAGCAGGGAGTCTGCTTCTCCCTCTCGCTCTGCTCCTCCTCCCTGTTTTTGTTCTCTCTCTGTGTCAGATAAATAAAATCTTTAAAAAAAAAAGCATTTTTGGCGCCTGGGTGGCTCAGTTGGTTAAGCGACTGCCTTCGGCTCAGGTCATGATCCTGGAGTCCCTGGATCGAGTCCCGCATCGGGCTCCCTG